GGTAAGGGAAACTTTTGAAGGTTGGTGGATAGTCCAGGGACAGGTCTAATCTGAGCACATATGACTACGCATGAACGTTCTCAGAGGAACATCTGACCTGGAGCCCTCACCTTGCAACTCATTGCTACGGGGTATAGTTTTGGGTACGGGCTCGGTTCTGTTGCTTTCAAAACCGTTGAACGCAGGCCACTGCATATCAGAAACCAGCCCGAAACCGACACACTTCATCAACCCTGGTGCGCGCCACAGCCCAAAACTTTGAAGCCCAGACGTGTGCCATTGGGTTTGGGGTTCCTCACACCCCCCAAACCCTAAACCCTAAAGTCTAAACCCCCCCAAGTCGAAACCCTATCGAAACCCTAAACCCAAAACCCGAAAGTCTGAATCCTAAACTCTAAAGTCTAAACCCTACCTGTAACCCCAATTCCCTACAGCTTAATAGGAATTACCCCTGAATTAGTAAGTATAACCCACAAAACTGTAGGTAATTGCTGGGTTGCTGGAACTTAAATTAAGTTACTATATTGGGGAAACCCTATTATTTATTCTATATACCCATTATGGTAACTTAATTTAAGTTCCTTAGCAGCAACCCAGATTGGGGTCGCAGGTAAACCCTGAAGCCTAGACCAGAGCCGGCCTCTGCCTCTGACTTTGCAGAGCTCTCAACTCCTTCTCAAACAGCCCAAGTTGAGCAGCGCTTTTTTTTGGGGGTGGTTGAACTTAATTAAATGGAACAAAGGGTATATTATTGGGGTTATATAGGGAGAATGGAAAAGAGCATGGGAACTACTATATTAAAATAAGGTATGTATTGGGTTTATAGTCCGCCTTAAGTAGATAGAATATGGCTTGGGGTATACAATAGTAAGATCCCCATGTACCCCATATTCTATCTACCTAAGGGGGACTATTGATTCCTTACATACCCCAAAATGGTTGCTGAACCCAGTGAGATTCCCTTGGGATCCATATAGCCTAATGTAGGTATTACTTACACCAAGATGAAGATAGAACCTTACTCTATATTGGGTACCATAGTAACCCCAAATCACACACTATTCAGTTGGCGTTTCGAACAAATGGGAGATTTCGAATGGGGACCCCAAAATGAATCGGGTTTAGGGCTCGGGGAGCCCCAATATAGAGCCCCAAATACTGCAATCCTTATGATGGGACCCCTAACAGGGACCCCTCATTTAGGGAAACTCCCAATTCAGAACCAATGGTCCATCTTGGGGTCTACTATTTCCGGGAACCTGCAAATTTTGCATCAGGTGATGATAAATGCTGTCAATTGTAGGAAGAGCTGGAACCTTGATTAGGACGAGTTGATGCACATCCATCCTCCCAGATTTTGCAGCTATAGCTTCTCAGCGACGCAGGAAAAGCTTGGATTTGTTTAGGACGTGGCGGGGAACGTAAGGGAACATATAATCCTACTCTATACTGGGAACTGTAATGTCACCATTCGAAACCAGAAGGAACAGTCTGGGTCAGTTCCGCTCCTCCAGAATCATACCCGAGCCCGTGCTATTTAAAGGCATTTGCAAACACACATTTGCATTTCTGCAGAATTTGAGTGAGAAGGCCTGATCAATTGGCAGAGTATGGAAAGCCAGAGTAAGCTTGTTCTGCCTAAACGTAGACCCTAAACCCTAAGCCCATAACTTACTGGTTCTTAGTAGGGAATGAGGGAATACAATCCCTTAATAATCCCTATGTGATCCCCGTATTCCCCAGTAAGAGCCAGTAAGATAGTTTCCTAAACCCCGCATCCCTAATTCCTAAAACTCAAGCCGCAAAACCCTCAAACCCTCCTGAACTCCAAAGCCCTGACCGCCACACCTGACATCACCCCTTTAACCTGAAGTCCGCAACTTTCATTCCCCACCTCGCGAGTGCTTAAACGGTTTAAGGTTTGTGGAGATTGGAGAGCCGAAATGTATTATGGGAACCATCGCAGGAGGTCGATTTGGGACTACTTTGATTCCACCAAGTACCAATTAGGTGTCCTTGCACGTTGAATGGAAGGAATGGAGGAACGATCCCTAGGGTAGGCGCTATATAGCCTTAACTTCAGGCAGCGGGCTTCCATTTTTCAATTCCCTAGACTTAGGATGTCCTTCAGGGGGGGTGGTCCAAGGGGGGTATGTAGCCCAGTAATCCCCATAATTCCCTTATACTCCCTAAGCTTCCCTAAAGTTCCCCAAGGCTCCCTTGTACCCTCCCCCTTGAACCACCCCCCCCTTAGGATCCTATAATAGGCCCTGTTCTCCGCCTGAAGCCTTGGGCTTTGCCGTTTCCTTTCCTGGCTTTGCTTCTTTCTTCTTCCTGGGTGGCAGGTCCAGAATGGGCAAGCCCCCCAAAAGACAACTGCTTTCACAACAAAACTTCAATGACAAGGTCAGGTAGTGAGGCCGTGCGAGGTCTATATAAAGCTGCCATCATCTGTGCGGCAATGCTCCCCAAAAGCCTTTGAAACCCTAAGCTGCGACACCGAACATCTAAAACCCGAAGCCCCCAACCCCCAGCTCTACACCTCCAGCTTTAGGGTTTGCGGTTTGAGGGTTTTGGGTTTAGACACGCGCAGGGTTTTGGGTTTAGGGTTTTGGGTTCAAATAAATCTTACACATTGGATGCCAAAACTTCAATACGGCCCTAGCCATAGGACAAGCTGACTGATGCTGAAAGGAGAGTGCGGGAGTGGATCTTGAGAATACTCCCTACATGATCTGCCTATGAGCCCCTGTCAGGCACCTTATCTTTACTCTCCCGATAAGCACCAGCATGTCATTGTTCTGTATCTATGTTCAGATATATGAGCAGGGGGTGTAGTAGAAGGATATACGAGGATGTGTATATACATGGATGTTGTAGTTTTCCCCAAATAAGGAAACCCCAAGATAGACCCTCAAAGGCACCCCTAAATTTTGGGAAACCCACCCTAACCCTGTCCGTGTATATCCCCATATGAGGCTATAGTCTAAAACTCCTAGTATCCGCCTTAATACTCCTATAACGCTCCCATATAAAATCCCCTCTATAAACCCCCTGTTAGGACTTGAGACTATAGCTCGTATAGAGGGATATAGAATGATGTGTAAGGTGCCTCTTCACAGCAGCCTTCGCATCTGGCCTGCAGTTGGACATTCAGGGTTTAGGGATGTAAGGTTTACGGTTCACGGTTTAAGGACTTAGGGTTCGCGGTTAAAGGATTCAGGGTTTAGCTAGGTTTGGGTTTAAGGGTTGGGGGGTTAAAGATTTAGGTTTAGGGTTTAGGGTTCGCGGTTCAAGAAATTCGGGTTTGGGGTTTTAAGGGTTTGGGAGGGTGTAGGTTTAAAGATATGGGTTTGAAGATTCAGGGTTTAGGGTTCACGATTTAAGGTTGTAGGGTTTAGGGTTTAAAGTTTACAGGTTTAGGGTTTAGGATCTAGGGTTGAGGGTTTGGGGCTATAGGGCTTCAGGTCTAGTTTGGAATCTAGAATTTAGGGTTTAGATCCAAAAAAAATATGTCATAGCAATATTTGGTACCGCCACCCCAAGTAATAAATGTTCCCCCACAAGAGGCCTTGTATATATTTGGTGACAAATGCAAGATTAGGCATTGAGGGTATTCACCATTAGTACGAATTGATTACCAACAAATGGAGAAGCTAATGCAAGATGAATTGGAAAACAGAACTGCAAAAGGGTTTATAGGGAATTGTAATCTAAAAGGGCCTACATATTTCATCGCCAAGATAGTTTTGAGGTGTATTCGAGGTACCCTACACTACAATTGTGCGAGGATTCCGGATCGCAATACTTCTTGGCCCATTCGTATGCATGTGTCCTACATGCTGCTACATGGACAATTCGGTTTCCAACTCTATAGGAAACCGATTATTCTCTGCAACACGGTGCCAAAGAACTCGAACCACAACATTGGACTCTGCTTTGGGAACTTGCTCTCGGATTCCTGTGGGAATCGAGAGTAAACTAGAATTTGTACCCACCAGCGCTCCTCGAACTCGGCAAGAACCCTCAAAATGGCCTCGTGCAATCCGCGCTTTATCCAAAATAAACTTAAGCTCCACAACCCTGCAACCTTAGCCCCAAAACCTCCTTCCAATTCGCATCCCGTCGTGAAACTCTTCAACTTGTCATCCTACAAAACGAAGCGATTTCTGTCACGGGCCTTCATACCAACTTTTAAACTTGAGTGCAGAACTCTAAATTGCAAACTCCAGGCTTCAGTTCTCAAACATCCACCCTGCACGGTGCCGCCGTAAACCTGGCCCAAACCATTATTCTCTACTTGCTGAAGCGCCACAACCGCAAAGCTGTACACTGTCCGGAAATCCAAACTCCAAAAGTCTCGACAATCCAAACACTCCGAAAAACATGCATGGAATCTGACAGTGGGCCCTACTAGACTCCCATACCTGTAAAGGGAGGTCCCATAATTGTTACGGGGACGAAATTGTACTCTCTGTGCAACAGCTATCATTCTGGTCATTCTCACATAGCCTCCCTCAATCCTGTGTCCACATTAGCTTGAGCCTGAGCTTCACAAATCGTGGCTCAAAACCGCACACCCTAAACTCCAAAGCGACCAACAAAGAGGCCAAAGCCAGAACTTTAGAACTAAAACCCCAATCCTCAACCCAAAACTCCGAGCCCTAGACACCAAACCCCAAACCGAAATCCTCAATCTTCAGTTCAACCCCTTAGCCTAAACTAAGTAACTGTTAAGGGCCTCAAACTAAGCTACCAGATTATGGGCATGTTGAATAGTAGGGTTTCCTCATTATATCCCAGTAAGCCCAACCCTGAATCTGAAAGCCCTTGGCTCCCTCAAACCCGAAACCCTGAGATTCCTGTTTTACTATTTTCGCCATTATCACCAGCATCCTACTATTATTACTAGCATTATTAGTGTCAGAATTATTACGATTACTATTATTGTTACGATTAGTTTATCTAAAACCCCAAGCATTGTTGCCCTGGGCTCCGGCTTTGGCTTCTCCGACTCCGCTGGCTCTGCAGCTGGCGCTGGTGCCGGCTCGGCCACGGCCTTCTTCGTTTGCTTGCTCGTTTGTTGATTCGTTTGTTTGCTCTGTTGTTTGCTTGGTCGCTAATTCATTCGTTTGTGTGTTTTTTGTTTGCTTGTGCTTGTTTTCGGCTTTAGATTTGAACATCGATGCAAAAACCCCGCATGGTCTCAGTATTTCAAAGCGTTATAACCCCATGCAGGAGTTTGGTCTCCTCCGCAAGGCTTAGGGTTTGAGCTTTCCCTTTTCCTCCTCGAAGATTTGGAGCTGACGTACTGTCCCATATCATGGTAACCATCTTCCCTCGCGCGCTTTCCCTTGCACCATAAAGGTCTGAGGTTGTCGTGTTTGGGCTCGAGGTTTTGCGATGATTGAAGGATTACCATAACCTTATACACTAAACCCCTAAACCTACCAGCCCATCCCCTACTTCACCCCAGGGTCTGCCAAAATAAATTAAGGGGGAACCTTAGGGCAGGGTAGTGTAAAGTAAAGGGATGTTAGTAGGGAAACCCATGAGATTAGGGTCACGGAGCTTGGGGTTCATTAAGGACTCAGGAGGTAGGATTTAGGAAGCCCTAGACCCTAAACCTCGTGGCTATGGTGGGTTGGGATTCGGATTTATTGGTGATCCTGGGAATAAACAGGCTACCGATTTCGTATCAAGGATCTTTGTTTAGGATGCTAAAAGTCCTAAAAGGGCGTGGCAGCAGGTCTTGCTGGCGAACCCCGAAACCCTAAAATCTTTCTTGGTAACTGTAGTAGCCCTGGGCCATTACCACTTCGAGTACTGTTGACTCACTTTGCCTGGGGAATTGCGTGAAGGCTGGCCGAAATCAATCGACACCCCTTAAAAGATCTGAACCTGGCCCTGTTGGCTCTAAAGCTGCCAAAGAGAGAGCTATTGACATGTGCCTGGCCACACCAAAAAGGCAGCTCAAACTTGCGGAGCCCGACATTTAGATGCAAAGAAGCTTGCTTTACATTATAGAACGCAAGCCCCACGAATTACAATACTATGCTGCGCTAAGTGGCGAAAGATTTCCTGCATCCACCGTGATGTGGTGGTTTCCTGAAGTAGGAAACCCAATATAGACCCCAAACATTATAACCCTTATTCCGGGGCGCGCCCAAACAAGTTCTCCTCATTCTGGGAAACCCTAAACCCTATCCTGCATATCCCTATATACCACTAGAAAAACATTATTAAACCCATTCAAAGGTTCCCCTCATTTTGGGAAACCCTAAGCCCTATGTGGTATATCCCTATATACCACTGGATAAACCGTATTAAACCATGCAAAGGTTCCCCTCATTCTGGGAAACCTGTATGTGGACACGCTTGCAGGGAGGGCGTTTGCCTCAATGTCCATCTTCTCAGAGCTTGCTTGACCTTCAAGGGTTTAGGGGTTCGGGTAGGGTTTTAAAGAGGTTTTTGAGTTACCAAATTCAGGAAACATATTCAGATTATATATATATATAGGGTTGTGTAGTATATGGTTTAGGGCTAGGGTTTATGAAGAAGAGGGTTTCCCCAACACCCCAAACCAGGACCCTGTTACACTCATATAATACCAAGATCATTTTTCATGCAAATGCAGGGCTCTTGGCTTTTTTATGTGCAGCGATTGGTAGAACCAGAGACCTCCAAAAAGAGGCGAGAGACGTTGGTCCCAAAAGGTAAAATCTCACAGCCCGGGCCCAAGTGTACCGGAAAAATCCTAGGCTTGGTCTTGGTACGGGGTCAACCCAGCACTTAGGTTTGAATTCCCCAAATGCGACAGCCTTCACGTTACCATGCCTTGCCGACCGCTGGGAAATGCCATTGTCAGATCATGTCAAATCATAGCGGCGATCAGATCTATCTGTTAACCCTAAACGCTAAACCCTAAACAATAGGCTGTGGACCTCCCACCTCCCATGGCCTCATGTAATGTAGAGAGTCAAATGGAAAGAAACTCAAAACTGGGGCTATGTAGGGGTTAATAGGTATAACTTGCGATCCGGCACCCAAGTACCACTGAGTCATCTGATGATATCCTTGCCATCCCCGGGCAGCATCTTTCTGGCCCTATAAACCCTGAACTCGTACCTCAAACTCCCTGACGACAAAACCCCAAACCTCAACTGTCCAAGTGCTCGGGTTCAACCATTGGTACTACTTGCTGGATCTAAACATGCATGAAGCGGCGAAATGCGGAATGCAACTCTGCGGCGAAAACACAAACTCAAAGCCTAAATTGAAGCCTTCTTGCGGAGAGCTACCGCTGTACATCAGCCCCATGTGATCTGTGAGCTATAGTCTAAACTCCTAGTATCCCCCTTAACAACCCCTATAATACTCCCGGAAATAATCCCAAAATAATCACCATGTAAGGAGTTTAGACTATAGCTCATGCGGGTTCAGGATACCAAGCCCCAGTGCAGAACCCCAAACCTGCAACCCTTTCTTGCCGAGAGCGTTGATCCAGTTCCAATGCTCTCGAAGCTTACTGGTAGTTAGTAGGGGGTAAGGGAATATACTACTTTGGGGCTATCTAGGGATAGGAAGTAAGGGAATATACGGAATCGGGGCTATATAGGGACTATAATCCCTTGCACCCTACAAACAACCAATAAGGAAGCGCCTTCCTCCTTTCCAGTCTTTGCCTCCTTCTTCCGCCTGCCATGAAACTAGGAGTGTCTCAAGAGGCGGCCCACCCGAAAGTTTGCACACACCAAACTTTCTGGAGCCCTACATAATATCCCCCAGAACGTTTGGATCAACCCCATACATATCCTAAACCTTAAGCCCTAAATAGTCGTTGTTTCTTTTCCGTCACCCCTACCCAAAAGTTTGCACACACTAAGACTGACGAGACGACTTCTTCGATGCGGCTTTGCTTTCAGGCCTGCGCTGATCGGATTGATCCTGCGTCCTAACCATGGCCTTTGATGGGGTTTGTAGGCCTTTACAGGGTATATAATGGGTATATAAGGACCGAGAGATTAAGAGCCCATATTATAAGGCCCATGGTACCGACCTTAGAATGGATGGGGGGTTTTCAGGACTGTGGCCATCTCTAGAACCGTGTCCGGTTCCGCCTTTTTGAACAGCCCCTCCCAGCTGCAATCTTTCAAAGAAACATCGGTAGTATTTGGGAGCACCCTCTAGTAGCAACCTTCACCGAAAACTCACTCCACACGTAGGATAATTTGAAACTATGCACACAGGCGCCCACCATGACATGGAGAGGGATTTACCCAACTATGCACACAGGCGCCCACCATGACATGGAGAGGGATTTACCCAAACCACAAACCCTGTTAGGCTAGACCCTAAAAGCTCAACTAAAACACCTTCATAACAAACCTTTTATATAGTGATCAGACCAAGCTGTACCATGTGACCCCGGAGAAAAACCCGTAGCCTGGTACTACGGTTCGTAAAGCAAATCTTGGGCCGCTAAGGCCGTGCATGTGAGTTTTAAGGATTTGTCTTCGTGGCCAGCACCTAGAAACTGAGAAATATGAGGCCAGGATTGAATGCGTTCTGAACCCTGAACCAACATTTCCTTTCACGTACTGTCATTGCTACTTGACAGAGACCTCGCACGTTACGTAGAGATTTGCCCTACAAATAAGGGGCTTCAAAGGGTCCTAAAGGTGGGCCATAATCATAGAAACCCTCGTCCTAAGCGGCACGTGCCTATCCTTTAGGCGGGGCCTGCAATACTGCCTGTACGGGATAATAAGGATTATATGAAGGTCCTCTTATAGTCGAATTATACCTATTACGGGAAGGGGGATCCTATTCCAAGACCCTAAGCCCTAAACCCTATAAGCCCTAAACCCTAAGCCCTAAACCCTACGCCCAAACGCCTAAGCCCACAGAGGAACCCAAATGCAAGAAACATCCATTCTCGGCCTGGACTCTGTGGGGACATCAGCCTTGTTCTCCACCGCCTGTGCGGAGCCATCTACCTACCTACCCCTATTTGATCTCTGGGGTTTAGGGTTTAGGCTTGCTGCTCAGTACTCGACATCCTTATTACAGGGTATGACACCCTGAAGAGCACGCACGATCAGAAACGGGAAACAAAAAAGAGTTACTGTAGAGCTTGTTGTAACAAGTCCTTCTCTCATCAGCATGTATCTCTACCTCTTGCATAGGCAATCTCTTCCTGGTGCTCTCAAGGGCGCGGATGTTTCAGTCTAAAGTTTAGGGTTTAGGGCTGGAAGAGGCTCCGAGTGCCAGCCCTCTTGCTTCACATTTTGCGAGACCACCTTTGCACTAAACTTGAGCTGGCAATTTCCCTAAAATGGGGGACCGCAATTTAGACCCCAGAATACTACAGTCCTTCTAATATATAGGTACCCCCCAAAAAGGTGCCCCGATTTTAGGAGCCCCCCAGTTTCCTCAAAGGAGATTTTTTGTAGGGTTCCCATTGGAGCACGCCCATGATTGCAAACTACCATAAAGTTTTGGAATCATACCTCTCGAGAGTGGATGGGCAATTTGCTGAGGGTTTCAGGGTTTCGGATTCCTTCAGTTTGGTTTCAAATGAGTTGTGGATGAGGTCGGTTGGTGTACACCGTCCTCATGTTCTCCTTAGAGGCCTATTGCAAATAGCATGCATGCTAAATGTTGCTTGACAGTCGAGAAGGAGAGCCTTTTGGACGTCTTTCGCCTTACTTCACAAGTTCCGAACACTTTGTCAATGGCATACGTCCAAGAATTATGAGGTTCATTCCGGGACCATTGGGAAAAATCAAGATATCAAAAGGCTTTCGGGCCGTCCTCTGCACTTGCAGGAGACATAAGCCTTCGGTTTTGGTGGGATACCGGAGACAATATATTATACAACATGTAGCAATTATGCCACAATTTACTATATCCTACTATATTACATTACAGTATATCATAATATGTCATATTATGATATATAGTCCTCCCCACTGCCACATGTTTTGCCACAATGAGGACCTCGGCGTCTGCGGCGTCTTTGTTGTTGGCGGAGCCTGCCCAACAAGCAAAGCGTTGATGAGGGAAATCTTGCATTGTCCAGACTACCCGAACCATTCCTAAGTGATCCTAAGTGATAAGGTATCTAGGTGACGACAGGGTTTCATCTACCGAGCCAATGCCCAAGCAACATGATATTAGCAGCAGGCTTCAAGTACTATATATACTCCTAAGCACACGTAGAACCCCGTAGCCGCTTTGAAGAGGGCAGCGCTCTTTGTAGGGCTCAATTGAAAAGTGGAGAGTGCGAAAAATCAGTGCTTCGGCCTGGTCAGAAGACACATAGGGGTTATCCTAAATGTCCTTGTAAACCTTCCAAAATGGTAGGTGGTCATTTAATGGTTTACTGGGTTGCTGTCACGTAAGTTGAATGGCTACCACAATGGGTATACATAGTAAGTACTAAGGCTTCCCCAATGGAGTAACTTAGTTTAAGTTCCTTAACAGCAACCCCAATTTATTGCTGCTTCACTTCTCCGAACTAACATGGAACCCCGTATCGCACCCTGCTGAAAAAGCAGCTGCCTTTGCAGGCTCCATGCTGATTTGCCGGAGGGTAAGGCGTTGAGGCCATGAATGGTGCAGGGTAGCAAAAAACTGGCCGGCTATGAATAAGCTCGAATTGAATCAGCTGCTTTCAGGAAACCATACTGTCCACAACATATCCATGCTTTGTCAACTTAATTTGAGCTCCTGGTTCAGAACAGCAATCCAGAAAGCCCTTACAAGCAGGAGACCTGCGACCCTCCTCTGCAAGAACCTTTGCACCATGTGTATACCTTTTGGTTTCTGAGGGCCAGCCATTCTGCAAAAAAACCTCGCATACACCGCCCCCCGCCCCCCCCCCCAAAAAAATCACCAAAACCATATCAAAATCTCGCCTTGCTCTTGTGCTGCCTTCTGTTCTTGCTTCTTCCTGCGGCAGGGTGGGTTGAACGTCCAGGCCCATTTGGCCGACCCAACTGCCATGCGCTGCCCCGAGGTTCACCGCACAAAGGATAATGAGTGGCCATGCTTCGTCATACACATACACCACGGCATGCTAGCAGTTACACAGTACTTTCACAAGCCCGCTTACAGCTAGGGGCACGTGCCTGAAAGCCCAACGCAAACCTCTAAAAAACATCAATTTCACTGTGTGACATCAGTTGAAAAACCAAACACATACTATGCGCTTGCTTCGGAGCGCTTGCCTCTTCTCGTATTTTGTGTGCAAGCCTTTGGGGCATGCTGTGCTCCCAGTTGCAAGGTATACGTCAGGACTAACGCAGCCTTAATCTTAATCTCTATCCCTTTGGGCAAAACAAGCTTCCCAACTCTCTCCAACAGCAACAACCCCCGGATCTCCATCCTTAACGCCTGCTAAACCAATTCTTGAACCGATCCCTTGAATCGTATGGCCAGATGTCCCTTCCTTCCTTCCTTCCTTCCTTGCCTGTCGGACCTTTCTTTTAGTTGGAGATTGCCTAAGTCACTAGTCACAAAATTTCTGAAGTCACTAGTCTGACAATGCGGAGCCAAGCACCAAACCCCAGTAAGCTCGGACCCCAATGCAGCTGCCTTTTTGGTCCCGCATCTTTGGCAGACCTGTCCACGAGGTGGGGATGAGTTAGGGCCTGCTGGAGGCATGCTTCTGGCCGGATACTTCTTTCATCTAGGAAGGTCCTACATGCAGCTGTTCACAAGATAGAGGCCCCTTGGGAGCCCTCCTAGCGAAGGTTGTGGTATTTCGGGAGATTGGAGACCACTAGATGTAAATTGCAGTAACCATAATTGAGGAAAACTCCTACGAAGAAACTCAAAGGTGCACAGCTAGCCTGTATGAGGGGTGGGTAAACTGACTTAGCAAGACTGGTTGTCGAAAACCGTTAAACCTCTGAGTGGAGTGAGCGGACTCAGGAGCTCCTTTACGCAGAAGATGGAAGATACGATCCCTTATCAACCACTCTCAACTCCGCAGGCGTAACAAACCAACCCATGCAAAAGGTGGCTGCCGTAAACATAGGGATTATATGAGGAGATAGGGCCCCAACAATGGAGAATTACATGGAACATACCGGAACATGAAATGGACACTGCGACTGCATAGTGGGTACAGTACTTAGACTTAGAGTCTCAGGGGACTAAATAAGTTTGCTTCTTGAGCGTGCCGAGGCCATGACAAGTCAGGCCCCTATGGACCCTAGGAATATATGGGGCTTCTAAATGATGATGGGGTATATATGCGGCACTTATCAGTCAGGGAGCATGTAAGGATTACACTTTGAAATTCCAAACCACACCCCATTGCTTGCTGTGCCTTCCCTCCTGGGGGGCTTCGGTCTCTGCTTGTGTGGCCGTCGCCTGGTCAGGGTTTAGGGTTTTTGAGGTTTAGTATAATGTTGACTCGGTAGGCCTATTGCGGAACACTAATGTCATCGATCTATGCTAGTAGCTGTAGGTGGATACCGGTCATAACGACCTTGGAGTGGTTTCCTACCTCAACCCCCAAAACCCTGTAAACCATGAAAGTCCCAGTTTTCATTCAATTTTCCGTGTCCTCTTCCATTCGAGGTAATATCGCTATATATCCCATATAACCCCCATATATATCTATATATATATATACATATATATATATACCTGCCAATTTAACCCCGTCTTAAACGCCTGTATATCCCTATATAACCAAGTCAAGGCACCAGCTTAGGTCTCCCTAAGCCGAGAGCCAAAACCTGACTGCCCCTACTGTTGATGGAGGAAACCTTGCACCACCTAGAGCCCGTAAACTGAAATTCCTATGACATTAAAGGACTTAAGGTGGTGCGAGATTTCATCTATCAACCGTAGTTTCAGAGTTTCTCAAAATAGGGGGAGGGACCCCAAGGGATATAAAAGGATTGAAAAGGGCGCGCAGGGGTTTCTATGAGGGAGTACGAAGGGATCATTTTGAGAAATGCCCAGAAGGCCCCCGCCTTTGCCGCTCAGTTGCTTAGCATTGGGGGTGTATGTCTAGGGCCCCTTTACACAAACAGGGCAAAATATCGGCAATATTCGAACCTAGACCATCAAAAGCAAAAACCCCTAAACCCTCTGAAAGACTGCTCCAAATCCTCCCAACCACCTCGCGCCCTGCCTCAGAAGGCTTGCCTTTGGCATCGGAAGCACCTTGCCACAGCACAGATGCCTTCAATTTGAAAGGAAACGTTTAACGTTGGGGTCTTAGCTGGGATGGGTGGAGATGACACTGTTGGCAGATTCCTGATCCCATAACCAGGGGTCTTAAGTAGGCCTTCAGAGAGTTTGGACTACGAATGCCAAAGCAGCATTCCCAACCCAAACTGCACATGCCCTGTCTCAGCTCTGATCGGCCTGCGAATCCCATGTATGGTGGGATCTTATCTGGTCCCCCAATGGGACAATAGATAGAAAGATAGATAGATAGATAGATAGATAAACGTATAGACATATGTACACACACTGACAGAAGACATGCTCCTGAGGAACCCTGTACATGCAAGCAGGGTTAAATCGCGCCCAACACAATTTGAACATCGCCAACTCGAGTTTTTTCTGCGCTATCACTGGTGGAGGGTTGGGATTATTTTGATGCACTTCACTTGCTGGTGCTTAAGGGAATGGGGAAGTGGGTCCCCATAAGAATCCCCATATATACCCCTATCATGGTTCCTCTATTCACCCTCACCCCCCCCTACCCTAAACCCTAAACCCTATAACCCCAAACCCTGGACCCTAACCAGCTCACCAGTAAGTTAATGGGCCTCCCTTAGCTCGGCGCCTGCGTCGTTGGACTTGGCCTCCTCCTTCTTCTTCTTCCTGGCCCGGATGTTGCGCAGGATTCCAAGGGGATTCTTGGCAGATGTCTCTTGGGCTTGTGGGTAGCCATACTGGTGGTTAGTAGGGAATAAGGGAATAAAATCTTGTATAACGTCCTTGCTAACCAAAAGTGATAAGTCTTAATTCAGGGGACGCAAAAGGTCCATCGAAGTTTTTGAGGTTCCCTATGACAAGGCTTGCCTTGGTCAAGGAGTGCCCTAATTTTGGGAAAGGTCCCTGTGTTTCTCCAGCGCCTTCTCCCGCGGCAGATCGTAAGACTTAAGCTGCCCCTTCCGAAGCCCTTACAATTCTGTACAAACTTGGATGCGCCGGGTCATGTCCAAGTACCTGAATTCTTACATCATTTGGTCCAAGATGGCTTCAATATGAACATATTCTTAAGGTCTAAGTACATACTGTTTGGGTACTTGAACCCTTTGGGTAAATGGATCCCTTTGGAGCCCTTTGAGCCCTGGCACCTCGCAGATGCTTTGGGCTTGGCGTCCGGCGATGCGGATGACGCTTCGGCCGAAGGCTCAGAGGCGGCAGCCAACGTCTTGGACTCAGGGGCACATTGAGTCGAAGGCAGGTGATGACCATATCGGGGTTATGTAGGAATAATGGAAAAGAAAATGGAAACTACTATATCATACTATACTATATTATATATATCTTATTATATTATGGGTTGGGACTTGAGGCTGAGGGTTCAATGCTTGGACTTTGTTGGGTTAAGTGCGCAGGAGAGGGCTGGCACTTTATGGCAGGAGTTGCGCACATTTGTCCTAGCCATTGTTGGACTGAGTAAGATCAACTTACTTCAGCATGTACAGTATGTTCTCTCAGCATGTACAGGATGTCCTCTCAACAGACCTCAACCGTCTGTGGCACTGTGGGAGAATGGGCTGAGACGTAGGGGAAGGTGTATGGGGCTTGCAGATGGTTTGGATGCTTCAACAACTTCATGGGCTTTAGGGCTACATTCTCGCTTGAGTGGAGTTCTGTCATGTCGGAGGTTGGCGCTGAATTTTGTGGAGCTGGTTGCTTCGATTTTGCTTTTATTCTCAGGTCTTCATGCGGGAGCTTCTCAAAATCAGGGTGCCCTTGGAACCCTAGTGGTATATGGGAAGTCTAAAAGAACTGTGAAGATCCACATGCGGGATCATATTTGCGCTATTTTTGAAACAACGCAGGATCTCTTGGGCTTGCGAAAGCATGTTTCAACCGTGCTCATGCCATTGATGGATGAAACCCAACACCACCCTATGAGTTACAGTAGTTAAGGGACCCAAATTAAGTTTCTAAGTGGCGCAAGATGTCAACGTCAGCTCTGAGAACCCTGGCCGCAGTCCTTGCATGACTCAACCAAAACAGAAGCTCCATTTGAAAAGACTTTCATCACATACATTTAAGGAGCTTTGATTGTTGCAGTCGCGTGGCTTCTGTGGCCTCCTCTTGCGCCTCTTCCGAGAGAACCGTTGCACCGTTCTTGGGTCCTGGCCGTGGTGCTGGTGTTCCATCGACTTCGGGGACAAGACGCTGTTCTGATCGGCTATGACACATGATCGTCTTGTAGCTAGCCACAACTGGTCCTTGAGAGCAGCGTGTAGGACCACATTGCTGCTCGCATTGTTTACTGGACGGTCAGATTCACTTTCTTACGAAGGCTTGCTACATACCAGAAGCAATGCGCAACACCAAGGTCTATTTCTGCGTTAGTCCTGGTCTGTACAACTGTACACCAACCCTTCTCTGGGAGCTCCAGTCCCCAAACTTTCAAAGCAATGCGAAACTGAACCATGCGTGAAGGCGTATAGTGATCCCCTATAAAACTTCCTATGTTAACCCCTTGAACGAGCTTAGATTGTAGCTCATATCACGTCCCTGAGCTTGGCGCCTGAGTCATTGGACTTGGCCTCCTCCTTCTTCTTCTTCCTGGCCCGAATGTTGCGAAGGAAGTGAAAACTGACTCTAAGCTGCTAGAAGAAGGGTTTTGCCCTAAACCCTCAACCCTAAACTTGTCAGGAACTGGGATTTGTGGCAAACTTAGTCCCAGAGAGGGAAGATGTAAGATCAAAGTGTTTTTGGGCATGAGGGTCTATGGAGGCCCTGATTCAGATACATTCCTATCCCAACACAGCCGCGATAGCGACAACGCACCCTTTCCAAACATGTAGGCACCAAAATAATCAAACGGGGTCTTGGGGTATGCTGCAAGCCCTTATGTGCAGGCGCATTCCTCTTGACTGGATGTTAAGGTCCACATCATAAATACCTGCGCAGACTATGATACCCCTCATCATTGTTCAGGCTTGGATAACTGGAAAGCAAATCTGCGAGGTGTCTCGTCTGAGAATACTTCAAGATACATCCACACCAGAGCTCAAACCCTAAACCCTTTCCCCAAAGGGTCCAGAAACCTGAACGGTGTGTAACCTGTGCAGTGAAATGGCTCATCTGCAAATACTCTGAGGCGAACATGTACACACTTTACATCTCTTACATGCACTTTAGTTGCTTGAAGCCCTAGGGTACTGTAGATGCTGGAATGCTTGCGAGTACTGTCCCCTGTACTCCCCACAGAACTCTAGCATGCTATGCCCCAAAACTCTTCTATTGAGATTGCTTAGGCCAATGTAGATTTGGAAACGTTCAAGATGAATAGCCCACCTCGTTAATACATGAACGTAACCCGAGGAAATCCCAGTTTGCATTTCATTCTTCATTACTGAAGTTACTTAAGCCCCCCCAAAAACACTCATCCTAACACTACACATCCCTATAGCTCCGCAGTCTCCATTACGTTTTTCAGCCTCCAAACCAAGCCCTGAACCCCAAACTCTATTACATCCCTATGTGAACCCTATATCTCCCTCTATACCCTGAGTAAGGGTTACCATAGTACCCCCCCAGGGTTAAGGAGCTAATAAGGATCCTTTAGGGCTTAATAAGGCCTAATAGGGCGAATGTGGTTCTAAATCTGGGGCTTTGGGGGGGGGGGGGCACATTCTAATCCTTTACTACAAAGGGGTAAGAAGCATCCCTTGAGCCCCTGGGCTTTTGGGCACCTCGCAAATGCTTTGGGCTTGGCGTCCGGTGCAGCGGATTCCGCTTCGCCGCGAGGCTCAGCGACGGCAGCCGAAGTCTTTGACTTAGCCTTGCCCCAAGGGTCCGAGTAGTCAAATACTAGACAATTTGATCCCAAACGGGCTCCTATGTAGGTACTGTGGGCCCTAAGTGGCCCTAAGTATAGGTTATTTAAGTACTTGGGCCTTAGGGTTGCTTGTTGTCAGTAATGAATTGGAAAAGAAAGTGGAAGCTGCTATAGGTTTAGATGGTTTAGAGCTTTAGGTAGGGAATGGATGAACGGATCCCTCTAATAGCCCTTACATAATCTCAAATAAAAGGTTGTTTAAAAAGCTTCCATTTTCTTTCGCAGTCCTTCATGCAAGTAGAGGCTTTTAAGTGGAAAGAAGGGCGGCATGTAGGATTGGGACTTGAGGCTAAAGGTTGAAGACCTGGGTTTTTCGGGTTTAACGCTTCAGGAGGGGACGAGGCGGTGTCTTGATCGCAACAAATATGTGCATCTGTCCTAGCCAAGGGCGACCCTCTTGTTCCTACATGGCATTGTTAAGTTCTCACAGCCGGCCTTTTGACTTGGCGGCTCTGTGCGAAGGCATGGGATGCAATTACTGGATGCGGTTGGGCTTTTGTCTCACAAGACGTAGGCTCCGGTTTGCAGAGGAATTCGAGGCTTCTAATACTTTCGAAAAACTCTAACAGCTTAACAGCGGTGGCGGATTCCTTAATGTGAGCTGAGAGGTTAGCGTTGTTTTTTGTTAGGGGTTGGCTGTGTAGGTGTCGCTTTCAAGCTCAGGTTCTACTGCGGCAGCTTCTCAAAACTGGGATGCCCCGGAAACCTTGGGGTACATGACAGTAACAGAAATCCATGAAGGTCCGAGCATGCATTTTGAGAAAGATCAATTTTGGGGTCCTATGTTTTCAAAACCATGTCGCTACTGCGCACGAAGGCTTGCAGTCTCTGTGTCTTGTGTTATAGGCCTTAACGCACGGCAAGCCTGATGTACCCCAACAGGGGTCTCATGCGGTCTTCACCTCACTCTACTGAAAAACAGAAGATCCACCTGCAAAGATTCCATCACGCACGGGTCCAGCTTCTTGATTTATTGCTGTCAAGTGGCCTCTATGCCCTCCGCTTGCGGCTCTTCCACGAGAACCGTCTCACCACTGTTGACTCCTGGCCAGGAGGTCATTCACTTCGGAGACAAAAGCACTTTGCCGGTAGACGCGGGATCGTCTTGCGGCTGGCCGCAAGTAGTCCCTGACAACCCTACAGGACACCATTAGCCATCTTGATCACATAAGGAAGGATTACATTTAGGGTCCCCTAAACTGGACTCCAAATATATACACTCTCCAATATTCCAAACGAAGCCAATGTACACTCACCTAAGCCGACAATCAATTTCACATGGTAGCTTCCCTAAACAGGGGCGACCCCACTACAGACCCCAAAACACTATAATCCGTTCGTTATTGGGACCCCCAAAGAGATACTCCTACTTTAATTAACCATAAAGGTCTACTTCAGTGTGAGCCCCTGGTCTGTCCTACCGTTCAGCAAGGCCTTGGGCCATCGACTCCTACGTAGGGAGTCCCAGTCCCAATGCGTTTAAAGTAATGCCAGGCTATTTGGGTTTAAGTTTTAGGGTTTAAGGTTTAGGGTATTTGGGTTAAGGTTTTCGGGTTTAGGTGTTTGGTTTTAGGTTTAAGGTTTAGGAGGTATTTGGGTTCAGGGTTAAGGTTTTAGGGTTTATGGTTTAGGGCGTTATCAACCTAAACTTCGCATTGCGGCCCTAAGCCGGGCGCCTGCGTCCTTGGATTTGGCCTCCTCCTTCTTCTTCTTCCTGGCCAGGATCTCAAAGAAAGCTAAAAAGTGAAGCTCAGCAGCAGGATTTGTTGGATTATCATTGGGGAACTTGGAACTATAGCAAAAATTGTATTTTTTTGCTGTTCCTTCGGATTATAATAAGCAAAAAGTAAAGATTATTTCCAAGTACCCCTAAGTCAAGGGATTTCAGACCTGGGGTTTACGGGTGACTTGATCTGGTGGTTTCGAGGCTTGGGGCTTGGAATTGCAGCTTCTCTATGGCAAGGGCTACGTTGCTCTGAGTGTCTATAGGGGCCCTAAACCCTAAACCCAAGAACGGCCTGTATGTGCCACTTCCGCATTTCCCTTCAACTTACTGGAAGGGAATACAATTCCTTGTGGGACATATTTCTTCATGCCTTACTAAGTCTTAGTAGGGAGTATTTACAGAAATAAATTCTATAGGGATCATATTCCCTCATTCCCTACTTCAGTCCCAGTGAGTCCATTCATCTTAAGGTCCCCATTTTAAGGTGTCACTTTCCACTTTACAGCGCTGGTTTACGGGGGTCATGCAGACACACGAGGTCTGATCACATAACACTTTTCGTATGGCGCTTGAACACTTGTAGTGTGCTGTAGAAGCCTGTGACAAATTTGGATAGGAAAATAAACCCTCCAAGGCAATTCTACCTACTTAGGCCCATGACATTGCAACCCTAAACCCTACCCGCCCCCCAAGCCAACCCAGCTCCCATTTGCCATGTTCCTCATTTTTTGATTCGAAACTATCCCAACCAAATAGTTTGGGGTTAAGGGCTAAGGGCTAAGTTAAGGGTTTAGGGACCCTCCACTCACCTTCCCTATCTCATGCGAGCTGGCTTCCATTATTGCATGTATTTAGGCCCCGTGCTCTCAACCTCCATCATAAACGTAAACCCTATACAACCCTATACCTCCCAACTTTCTCTTTCATTTCCCATATTCCTTTTCATTTTATTCTCTATTCAGAGTTTTTAGGTCCCTACCTGTGCCTCCCGAACCCAAACCCGGAACCCCAAACCCTAAATCCGATTAGATCCCCACAGGACCCCTACATCCCCTTGAAAAGCCCCTATAGCACGCAATATCCCCTGGAGCCGTTAGGCTCGAGCACCTCGTAGATGCTTTGGGCTTGGCGTCCGGCGATGCGGCTGCCGCTTCGTCTGCAGGGACAGCAGCCGGAGCCTCGAACTCAGCGGCTCGCAAGTGGAAGTAGGATTGGGGTTATATAGGGATAGAGTTTACGGGTTGAAGGCTTAGGGTCTTTTGGGTTCTGAGTTCAGGTAGTAGGATCTGCAGTGTAAGGTGAGTTCTTCTTGGCAAGAACTGCGGGCAGATGTCGTAGCAACCTTTACGCTCGAGGAATGACCTTGCGTGACCTTGCCATATCTTGTTCTCACAACAGACCTTCTCACCGGTGGCGCTGTGGGAAGAAATGGGCAAAGACGCATGGGATGGATTTTGAAACTAGGTGTCATAAGATTCAGGTTTCGGGCTTTCAGAGGGTTTGAGTTGGAAGCTGCAACAACTTCCTGGGCTCTAGGACTAAAACTTTACTTTCCTCATGTGGGAGTTTCCCAGTCGGGGTACCCTTGGAAACCTAGAGACGATGAGCACAAAAAAGACTCTGAAGCTTCATATACGGGATTGTATCGAGGTATTTTGAGAAATATGAATCCATGACCTCGTTTGTTTGTGAATGCATGTCGCTGCTGCGTACTAACGGCTTCCACAGGCTTGTAGCCTGTGTATCTGTTGTGTCATAATCCTAATCATGAGCAACGTGCCCGTATGTACCTCCAGAACGGTCCGTGCATACTCCGTAAAAAACAACGGACCACGCGCCCCGCATGCACGACTCTTGTCACGTGCCACTCATGCTTCTGGATTGGTTGCCGTCATGTAGCCTCAGTCTCCGCTTGCGGCTCTTCCAACAGAACCGTCTCACCATTTTTGAGTCCTGGCAAAGGGTGCTGTGCTTTATAGGCTTCCGGGGCAAAACCAGAAGCTGCTAACAGCGCCTATGACACATGATCGTTTATCCATACCTAGTGAGACCCCAATATAGACCTGAAAATTCCTTCTTGTGGGCACCCGCAACAAATGCCACTAATTTTGGGAAACTTCCATGTAGGCCAACCCTGAACCCTAAATCCCTAAGTTAAACCCTGTACTGGAACAGGTCAGAGCCACACCCAGTATGGCACATGCAACCACCCAATATATGAAGGTTTCCCCAAATTGTCGGGTACCAATTTGGGTTCCCCATCCCAAGGATTAGAATATTTTGGGGCGTCTATTGGGGCACGGTATTTGGGAAACTAGCATATAACCAATCAGACAAGGAACCTAGGACAATAACATTGGTAACTAATTAGCCTCCTATACTATCCAGGTCTACTTCTGAATTAATCTTTGGTCTGTAGTTATGCTGCAGATCTTGGGCCACCTAATCTTACTCAGCCAGCGCCAGTCCCCAGACCTTGAAAAGCACCGCGAAACAGATCCATGCTGCGCGAACATTTGCAATTTCGAAGGCCTCACAGAAATCACACGGAGATCAACTAAACCCAAACCTCCAACCCATTAACCCTTCACCCACCCGCGGAACAAGGCCCCTTGCTGTCGGCTACCCCCTCCGACAACCGCGTGGTAGAAGTCTGCAGACTGTCCTGGGACGGCTTTGGCGAAAGCCTGAAGGAGACGGGTACGCGGCTCCTTGACCATCATGGGGTGTAAGGCTGGGGTCTTGGGTTGGTGGAGTAAACCCCACACCTCTTGGGGTTTGGGGGGTTTGGGCTTAAAGGTTTAGGGTTTAGGGTTTACTAACCATCTTACTCCCTTCACCCAAACTATAACCGCCCCTACCCCCCTCGTAAGAAGCCCCCCAATATGGTACCATTACATATCCGGGGAATCTGTATTAACTATTATGGGTAAAGGGGGGTATCATAATTGGGAGGGGGTTATTTCTGATTGGGTTACCCAGGCAGGGCTTTGGGTCGTGAGGAAATATGTGGGAAGCCTACCTCAAGGTTTGAGATTAAGCAATCTGGAAAGAAGATATATGTATATATACGTATATATGCAAATATATATATATATATACATACGTATGTATACAAATATATATATATATGTATATATATGTATATACGTATGTATACATACATATATATATATACACATACATATGATATTTTTTTGGGGGACATATCTTCTACTTCCTACCTGACCTTCCCAGCTGACAAAATGACGCTGATCCCTACACACCCAACATCCCTGCAACCACGATGCCCGGAAATTCTAACTCCTCCATACCTATCTTAGTAGCTCATATAGCTCCCAATGATTTCGTAGTTTCCTTGATTGTTTTCATCCATGATCCGCAGACCTTTCAGGGACCCCGGACCCTGTGAAACCATTTGGACATCAATATTGGCCTTCTTCAGGGTTGGGGGGTCCCTAAGGCGGGGAGTACGCATTCCCCAGATCTCCATGACCCTGAAACCCGCTGTCCCTAAACCCCAGACCTTAAACCCTGAACCCTGAACCCAAATCCCATAACCCTGAAACCCATGGTCGCTAGACCCTAGATCCTAAACCCTCAGACCTTATACCCCCCTGAAGTAGATAGAATATGGCTGTGGGTATATTATAATAAGATCCCCATATACCCCATATTCTATCTACTTAAGGACTATAAATCCTAAACCATCGTCCGTGTGATTCCTTCACCTCGTTCGGCGGGTCGCCTTTCTCCACCTTCTCTGTCACGGCCTCAGGCCTCTGCTATGTGAGCTACACCCTAAACTCCTAGCATCCCCCTTGCTAATCCCTATGATACTCTCCTATATCATCCCCTTATATAACCGTCCCTTACGGAGGTTAGACTATGGCTCATGTAGGCATGTTGCAGAGCACTAGTGTCACGTACATTAACTACAGTAATAATGACAAGAAGGGACTAGAGTAGGCTACTTCGTGCTCATGACTTGTTCTCTTCCCGAACTAAGGCCTCCCAGAAACTCACGAAAGCAAGATCCCATGTGACAGGATCTTATCTCAGCGTTTTAGATTCAGGGTTCAAGGCTCAGTGTAAGCCGTGAGGAAAGGCCTACGCCCATCTCGAGAGGGTTGAAGATTCGAGCAGGGCTTTACTCATTGATTCCGACAGCGGTCCCCTCAATATGACGAACCCCGCTCACCTAATAAACACCGCCCTCACCCCCAACGTTGAATATGTACCCCAATTTTAGTAAGCTACTACAGGGAATCTGAGAACCTAAGAGGGGAGTAGTTAGACAGCTGCCACCGGTTCCCAAACTGAGTGCATGGCTGTGCCGCGTTAGAGCTTGAAACCTCTGCCTCAAGAACACAGCTAGCTCAGATATTCAGCCAGCAGTTTTCTAGTTATTTGCACAGCGCACCACGGTTGCGAGGCGTTAAAGAGGAAAGTGCCCATGATGGAGGCTTCTACTGTAAGGTGGCCTACACCGATTCCAGACAAGCATTGTCTATTTGGGCGTGTGCGGATTAAGTCTGGATGACGCAGGGACGCTGTAGATGTCTATTAGGGTTGAATAGGTCCGCCTGAGCATGTCTCAAGTCCACGACTCTACTTTCTGGGGTGTACTACTAGCCCATTCTGGAACGTACAACTAACGCGACCGCCTGTTTTAATTCAACACCTCACACTCTGCAGACCCACTTTGTGACAACCTCACATGTAAGCCCTCCTGTATGTTCATGTAGTGCCGCTACGCGACTTCCAAGCAAGGCAACTTCCGAAAGAGAGCCCCATCACCAGATTGGTGCACGAAATTCTGCCTATGTAGATCCAGCATTCTTGAGGGTTCAGGCACGTCCCTCACATGAAGCATCTTCAAGTCCCTGCAGCTTTATAGAATCTACAATAGTTTAGGGCCCAAGGTGGTTCAACAATTAAAGTATGAATTAGGCCAGGCGGACCCCACCATGCAACACTGACATAACGAGAAGGTAAGAGGACCCTACTACGTCTTATAGTCACTATTGCTGGGGCGGGTCCACTGAAAGTATGGATTCCCAAGCCCTAAACCCTAAACCACAAATTCTTTTACAACTGGACGTGCTGAGCGCCAAACATTAAAACCCTAAAACCTTTTTACATCTAGCCCTAAGCCCTTAAACCCTTGAAGCCTGAATACCCTTAAACCCTTGAAACCCTTAAACCCTTGAAACTCTTTGGATTGCAAGCTCGGGTCCTTGGGGTCTGTCTCCGTTTTCGCAGCAGGCTTGCCGTCAACAGGCGGCGGGCTAGCACCTGCCCCGAAGCGAAGCTCGCTAATCTCCCAACGATGATCGTTCCGCGCACATAGTACCAGCAACTGTGTATATATATATATATGCATATGTATACACATGTAAGTGTACATACATACGTATATATTCATCTATTGATGTGTATATGTATATATAAGAGGGATTTCTTAGTCTGTGAATTACAAAGGAACTATGGAGTCCTCTTACCCCAAGGCTTACGTAGGAAGCATCTTGAGCAACCCCAATCCAAAGAAAGCTCGTCAATAGTGTTTTGAAAAGAGCACAGCTCCGCTCTCTACATCCCAATTGTAGATAGACTGTTGGGTAGGGCAGAGTTCAAGATTTCGTAGACTCCCAAAACAAGGGAAATATAAACCACAAAATACTGTAATCCTTAGTATAGGGACCCCGTCATTTAGAGCGTTGGATTTGAAGCTGTTTTTGGCGGTGGGAGGTGCCACAGCGGTTCAGGTCCTGTTTGTCCACATCAGAACTCCTCAAGCTAAGGGTGCAAGGTTTAAGGTTCTGTCTGATTCTGTTGAAGAAGCAACTGGGCAGGCTCGCGACTGAATTATTTTTGTGGTAAATTGCGACATGGTCTGAAGCCTGAAGTTAGAGATCTCATTGCCCACCCTTACTGTCTCGCGGCCCGCGTCATGGACACCTTGGATCTTCACCTACAAAGATGTCTCTAAAGTTAAGCGTCATTAGCTGTCTTTAGGCAGTATGTCGCGTCAATGGTTGATGGGGTTCCATTCTTAGCTGCAGTGCCTGAATCTCCAGTCAACGCCCCAACACCTTGCCTAAGATGTGACATGTGTAAAAGAACCTGAACGTACAGCGCACAACATTCAGCGGAACAATTTGAAACTAACACAAAACAGCCTCACTAAACCTTGCAAATCGCATGAATATCTTTACAAGCTGCCAGCGCCGCCGAAAGATGGGTCCCTCCTAAGCTTCACGCGCCCTACTGGTCCTAAGCCCGAATCCCTCTTTCGTCATCCTTACAAGGTGTACCGAAAAAGGACCCCGTACAACTCTTTTTCAATCTCAAGCTCTAAGCCTTGTTACTATCATTACTTTTATTATTGCTATCACTACTATTATTACTATTATTGCTAATATTATCACTATTACTAGTATTTTGCAATTATTTCTGTTATTACTATAGACGAACCCCATGCTGCGGCCTGACTCCGCCTCAGACGGCTTCTTTCCCTTGCCGACCTTGCAAGTCGGCTCTCTCAGGCACTTAGGATTTAGGGGCTTCCGAAAATTGCCAGTACCTTTTTCGGGGTCCCCATAATAAGGATTATTGTATCTTGAGGTCTATATGGAGAGAGAGAGAGAGAGATATATATATATATCGTAGGGTACCTTTATTTTGGGAAACTACCATGTAGGAGCTTGCGTAGGCGTTGGGCAGTTAGGATATAGAAAACCCCCAAACAATTGAATTCTGAATGCCTGCGGGAAACTGAAAACCTTAAAGCCTGAACTATGCCCTATGGTTTTTCAGGGCTTTGCAGACGGAACTCTTAAGGAAGCAAAGGGAGTGATAAAGAGCAGTAGGCAACATTGAGGAGTATTGGGTGAATCACCTATCTCCCTTCTGGTTGGTCTTTTGGATATTTCAAAATTGCAAACGTTGGCCTCCTTCTTGGGTTTCACAAAACCCTAAATAGTAGTTTCCACTTTCTTTTGCGTTATCCCAATATATCCCCAATTTTCCCCCTATATGACCCCAGGGGGAACCCTAGACCCTAAACAGCCAATGATGACCCTGTTCACCAACCCTCGAACGCGCTGGATTAGAGGGTTCAGTTCTTTTTTAAAGCGCTCCTGTTAAGGGTGTAGGGTTTACCGTTTACGTTTAGGATTTAGGGTAACTGCGGGGAGGCCCAACGCAGCTTGCAATACGATGCATGCTGAGCCGAATTGGAACAAACACCTCCCCTACACACATACGCACAAACAACTCTAGATGTATACCACCCAAGCCAGAATAGCGGAACATGGGAGCCAACTACTCTGAGTTACTTTTCGCCTTGACATCCCAAACTCGTAGACACTAGATCCTAAGCCTCAAACTACTTGTTTAGGCTTTACCCGGGCCCCAAAAGCAGGTAAAATCACTGCCCAAAATCCCTAAAAACAAATCAAAAGGCAAAAGCCATTATTTTACATACCTTTGGTGTTCAGGTAACTCTCAACTCAAGGGCTTAGGGGTTACGGCTTAAGGTTTAGGGTTTAGGGGTTTTTAGGGTCCAAAGCCCCCAGAAGCCCCGAAGAAGCCGAGAGGCGCTCTTAGCCTTGGCTTTGGGCGCTGCTGGAGGCTGACCTTGGCGAGATAACCACGGGATTGAAGGTTTAGGGCTGTTTAGGGCTTAGGGGATGAAGGGTTTAAGGGGGTTTAGGGGTTTTAGGGTTTAAGGGCTTAGGGTTCAGGGTTTAAGGTTCAGGGTTGAGGTTGTAGGATTTCGGGTGATAATATGTTCCTGAATAGGTCCCCCTATATCCCCTGTATGGGTGTCTCCCAAAGTTAGGGCTACCTTCTTGGGGCCTTTAGGTCCCCCCCAACCTATCTCCAGACCATAATTAGCTCAGATACGGTGGACAGAAGAATTCTTTCGACGTAAGGGCTCTGTAGAAAGGCACCTATGAAATCCCAACTTTCCCAGACATCAACCCTAAACACTAGACCTCCAAATCAATCCGCAATGCAAGGGAGGGACCTGCGATTTCGCAGCCTTTATAGAACGACAGCCGGAGCGGCATAACCTGCGCAGCCAAGTTCTGCGTGCTTCGGCCAAAAGTTACCCAAAAAAACAGGGGGTTTCGCAAACAGTAGCAATAGCAAACTAGAGACTTCCTCTCATGTAGCTTCAAGCTCAGAATTCTGCACCCTAAGCCCTAAGCCCTTAGCCGGTAACTGTGGTACACGGAAGATCTTCCTGAAGGTTGCCTTGAATGCCTGTATGAATACCTGGGCCCCATAAGTAAGTGAAATCATGGCCCAAAACGCATAAGAATAGCAGAAGGGGCCATCATTTTACATACTTTTGGGGTTCGGGTACCTGAAAACCCGAACCCTTGCTTGTGTAGGGATTTTTGGGTGCCCTCTCAGAGCAGTAGTATGCTTTGTCTGCAGATCACAAGCCTACAACACTGAGTTCACACTGCTTTGAGTCGCTCGGGAACACCGGTACTGTAGTTTTTGTTTAAAACATGTTTGGGCTTTGAAGCTTTCTGGGTGATGCATGTTGATGTTCCAATCTGAGACCTTCTGATCCGTATTAGGGGACTCCAAAAGGGTACTCCTTATTCTGGGAAACCCTGATTTAGGAGCCACCTGTGACCCCATGCGATTTCCATGGGGCTTCATCTGGCGCAATGAATGACTTTTGTACGGCACGTTCGCGAGCAAGTTTTGGTTGACCGAATTTACTTAGAATTTGAGGCGAGAGTCTATCTATATGGTTTCGGCAGGAAGAATGTTGAAAGACGATCGAAAAATGCCCACATCTACAGGTGCCAGGATGTGGCGTCTAGGCAAAGGAAACCCTATCTCGCACTTCCGGCGCAATACCTTCTCCTTATCATAAGGATGCTTACGACTACTATCTGTTCGGTAAATCACTCACCAGCCTCAATATTCTAAAGTAATATCTGCGAGTTATATACTGTAGCTTTCAGCCTACTGTAGTCGTAGCCGTAACTCTTTAGGACCAGCAACAGGAGGGGAGTTTCCAATGGGATTTTATGTAAAGGGTATATAATGGGTATGTACGGTCCATGGGAATTATATAAGGGGTATGTATATATATATATATATCTATATGGCATATGTAAGGTCCCTACATGGTAAGTCCTGTCCTGTAATTGCCTTAGAACCCCATCACAAACTGAATTGTTTGGTCCAGAACACCTTGCAACCTGAGGGTAGGCATGGCTTTTCCTGCAGAATTCCTCAGGTAAACCCTCTCATTCCCTCACGGTGCAGCTTTCATGGGCCCACCCTGGTTCAGAAACTCCCATACCACTTCGTGATCCGGCCTTTCCAGCGCTGCTATTGCGAGACTTCCGCGCGGGGGGCGTCACCGTTGCCTCCGGGCTGGTGTATCACATCTTCCGGGCTGGTGTCTGACATACAAACAAAGGATTTAGGTAGCACTACCCTCAGCTTAGTGAAGTCATATGATAGTCATAGGATCAAACTTTTGGGGGTTGGGGTTACCAAAACCCCCTTATGCTATAGGTAATGGCTTCGAATTCCGATGACACGAAAGCATCTGGGAATGGAAAAGGAAAGTCCGGCCCCAAATTTCGGAGGGTTGCATAGGGAGTTTGATATCACATGATAGAAGCAGTCAACGAGACTGCGCTCGAATCCTTACTGGTGCCCCTAAACCCCGAAATTTCAGGGAATAAGGGAATGGAAGCCCCTTTTACATAATCCCTATATACTATATGCCCGGATGATTCCCTGCTGACCCCCAGTCAGAATCATAATTTCTGGCTTGGTCGCGAGCTCTTGGCTCCTGCAGCAGATGTCTATTCTGTACTTATACCTCCCAATGAGGCGGGCAGTATCCAAAGCATGGAAGTTCAAGAGCGAGAACTCTACGCTCAAATGGATCAACTCAAGCCCAGGAAATTCTATGAGACAAAGGGCTGACCTCAAACAGTAAACCTTGAACCACCCGAGCCTTTGAATCCATCCCTCCACATCCAAACCCAAGTAGTCATACAGCCTGCGCAGCGGAAAGCCCCACAACCCTACACCTAAATCCTAAACCCTAAACCCTAAATCCTAAACCCTAAACCCTAAATCCTAAACCCTGCCTCTGCGTCAATTGGCTCCGGGGGCGGCTGAGGCTTCTGCATCTGGATGGTGGTGTATAGGGGGTATATAAGCCACACGGTTTAGGGTTTAGGGTTTAGAGTTTAGGGTTGTGCATGGGGGAAAACAAAGGGATGTAGAGATACGTGGGGGCATAGAAGGGTACATGGGGATGTAGGATGATGTGGGGGTGCATAGTGTCAGAAGTGTATCTGTGGTGCCAGCTCCGCATAACCGCTGAAATCTACCATCCAGGCAAGTATCACCATGTTTCGTCAAGATTCGTTTACTTACTAGTTCTTTGTAGGGAATAAGGGAATAGAATCCCTATATAACCCCTATACCAATATGTTCCCTTATTCCCTACTGACCCCCAGTAAGTTTAGTTTATTATCATCTTCATGCCTGCCTGAGACCCTTGAATAGCATCAGTGGAAAGCATAGCAACATCAGGAGTAGCAGCAAGCAGCGGCCTATGGCAGGGTCCGAAGCAATTACCAATCTCATGTTGGGGTCTATTGCATTGCCGTATACGTTACTACAATTATACAATTAACCTAGGGCCACCCTGAACAATAAGCCCTAAAGCCCAAAATGTTGGTAAGTGTTCAGGACCCTACGTTACCCTAAGGGTCTAAGTACCTAATGATCATATACTTACCCAAAACCTGTACTACAATTCATAATTACCATTATCCAAAACCCAAGTATCTAATTATTGGGTACTTGGACCTTAAGCCCTAAACCCCAAACCCCATATACCCTCATATCCCCCCACATATCCCTTTTAAAAGGACCTAATTTTCTGGGTTCTTGGACCCTCTGGGTTACCCACCACCAGGCTAAACCCTAAACCCTAAACCAGGGAAACCGCCGGCCTCTGGGGAGGCTGGGACAACATCCGGCTCTTCCTGCCTGCCACGAAAGGTAGGGTCCCTTAAAGGGTGGATATAGGGGTTATGTAAGGTTACTTAGGGCTATATCAGGTTTTATAGGGTTTAGGGCTTAGGGTTAGGGTTTCCCAAGAATAGGGTACTCTTTTAGGGGTTTTCATAATATGGACTATGTCTATGTTCGTTGAGGGCCCCCCTATTTCAGGAACCTACCAAAAAGAGTAGACTGGGTTGCTGTTAAGGAACTTAAATTAAGTTACTATATTGGGGAAACCCTATTATTTACTATATATACCTATTATGGTAACTTAATTTAAGTTCCTTAACAGCAACCCAGATGATGATGGTGGGGATTCAAGGCTTCGGCTCTGGGACGTCCAGGAATTTGGTTTTCGGCCTCAGGGGCAAAGATGTAGGTCTGGTGTAAGTTGAGTAGACATCAGTTCCTGAGGCTGCTAAGGGATGAGAGCAGTGTGATTGGGGAACTAATGAACTTCCTACACACTTCTTGCTGATTAAGTCTCCCGATCACTCGCATGAAGCACCAGCCTCATGACCCGACCTCTCAACTGTAGGGATTACGGGACTACTCCCCCTAAAGGTACCACACACCGGCGCTAGAAGCACGTAATACGGCTAATATAAGGCTCAATAAGATGTTTCTCGCAGCGCCTGGGTTTTTAGGGTTTATCTTAGTCCTGTACCCGTGCTTGCTTACAACGGGCCCGACTTTGCCTGACTTATTCCCTGGGCTCAGTCCGTCATCTGCAGAAGAACACAAAGATGACGATCATACTAACGATTGCCATCACAAGCTACGAACAGCAACCGTACTGGCCGCAATGCAACAAGAATCAACCCAATGATAAGAGAGCAAGAAACATACCATCGAATGCTTCCGCGGTTGCGCCACAGGACACTAGACTAGTCACAACAGAGCAGTACTGGCGACGAAACAACCACGAACACGACCACAATCACAACCGCAAATGCGCGGGTGAGGAACATTCTGAAGGCTTTGCACGTAATTTTCCAGGCCTGCTTGGGTCAGCTTGCTTCCCTTTCTTCCGGCGGAGGACTGGCTTAGAGTCGGCTTCCGGCGGCTCCTCCCAGGTTTTTCTGATTCTCTGGGTTTAGGGCCTCCCTGGGATTTTAGGGCTTCTGGGTTTTTGAGGGGTAAGGTTTTGAGGATCCAGAAGCTTGCTGGGTTGGGGGTTTTGAGGGCAAAGGATGTTTCGGAGCATTTTTTTTCCAGAATTTAGGGTTTCACGGTTTAGGTGTTGATCCGCCACAAGGGTTTGACTGATTGTCATCTCTCTCCGAGTTCTCTATCACAAGAATTGGGCCATTCTTGTGAAAAGAACCTCCCTCTCTGAGCACAACCCTCTGGGAAAGAACACCTCTGCTTTCCGGAGGGCTGAGGAGCTTTATCAGCGCAAGAGATGTCTAACAGCAGGCGAGCGGAGGATGAAATCAAACCTGAAAGGAGGTGCGAGATCTAAAAGGTTGACAATCGAGTGGATACTACTTAGTAGTCTTGTTTAAGACTGGCTAGGTTCCTGGCCTATGTCAGAGCCAACGACACCAACGCCCCCTTTGACCAGAAGTTTTGAGCCCGGGGAATTTTGCTGTTGAAGGAAAAGGTGCCCCCCATAGAATGCCCATATGAACCCTCTGATGGTACCCCTCATTTTGTGAAATCCCCGCATCATGGCTTCACGGATGCTCACTGCATCAATAGGCAGGTGCAGATGTGCTGTTGCTGGGACGGGTTTAGGGTTCAAGGATTTCAAAGCCCTAAATGAACTACCAACTAGGATAGATGCAGGGGTATGATGCAAAGGAAATTGGAAACTACCATAGTATTTGAAGTGTATATTACATATACATATATATATACATTGGGATATTATAAAGGATATTATAATTGAGATACTACCCCAATGATGGAAAAGCAAATGTGAAAAAAATGGAACATGAAATGGAAGCTGCGACACTGGTAAGCCAGGATATTCAGCAACCTGGCGCCCCAAAGGCAAACCGCGCCTCAGCAAACTCCTTCTTCCAGGACTGCCGCTTCTGACGCTTCCGAGCCTGGATTTGCAGGACTCTGAACCCTATAGTCCCCCTTAAGTAGGTAGAATATTATGGGGCATATGGGGACCTTTTTATATTACACCCAAAGCCATATTCTAAACCCTAAGCCCGGCCTGCTGGGTTTGTCCACGAATACATAGGTCCATTTCTTTGGCGCCCGGAGGATGGCGTATATATGGCAGGACCCTTGACTACGACGAAGGTTCCTGCCGGAAAGGATTCTACCAGGTATACCAAGAAAAGCCAGTAATAGCCTCTCTTTTCCCCAATAACCAGAGCTAAAATAATTTAAACTTCATTATAGAGACCCAAAAAGCTAGTCCAAAAAGGTTCAAGTTCAAGTTCTTCTACGGGCTAAGTAAGGCTCACAATCTTTCAAGATTTCATCATAGATAACACTCGTCTTTCTACTTTGCCTAGCTAGCCGCACTGCATCCGGCTATTTCGCCGTGAGCTCAGCGCCCGGCACGTGATAATGAAGCCGAAGTTTAGGTTTGGGTTAGGATCTAGGGTTTAGGATTTTGGGGTTCAGGGTTCAGGGTTTTAGGCTTTTAGGGTTTTAGGGTTCAGGGTTTTAGGGTTTTAGGGTTTCAGGGTTTTGGGTTTTAGGGTTTTGCGGTTTTAGGACTTGAGTCCCAGTAGTCCAAACCCCTTAGTTGTCTGGATCCCTGGTAGAAATTGTAATTTCAGCTGGTTCTCCGGATTAAAGATAACAGAGATTCAAAAAAACATTTTCGATTCAGGGAACTTCCGGACACATGTTTATAGCCCAATAATATACACTCAAATGAAAAAAGAACATGGAGAATGACACGGAAGCTACTATTTAGGCTTTAGGGTCTGGGGTCTAGGGTTTGCAGATGCAACATGCAATATGGGAGAATCAAATGCGAAAAGAACATGAACAATCACATGGAAAGTGGTGGTTTATAGAGACATAGGATTTAGGACTTACCGTCTGGCTGCTTGTAGAGAAAGAAGGAATGCAGCAAACAAAATGGAACTTCACATATATACATATACATATGTGTGTGTATTGCCACGGGCTACCAATGGGATCCATTCGCACACTCACTTGCAACAACGAATGCTGGAACGCAATCTGTCAAGCTTGAGGTTCAGACAACTTCAAACAACTAGCCACTTTACTCTGCTGCAGCAAGTTCACCGAGAAAAGTCGTTCCACGCCTGCCTAGGGTTAGGGTTGAGGGCTGTGTTTAAAGGCCTTTGGACATGGTACATGGTGTCTCGAACGCCTAAATAGGTCAGAAGCCCTCCGGCACATTCTAGCCTGCCATGGGATGCAAACTCTGCAACAGCTCTGGATGCTCCTTCTTTGAGCAAGTTGAATCAACTTCCCCAATGGCTACAGTACTCACTTTTCGTTGCTGCGGCGGTGCCTCTGCCGTTTTTGGCGGCGACCTCAATCCAGCATAGGGATATGTGATGATCACGTGGGAATGCCAAAAACATGCTCTCCACGCGCTTTCTGCGGCAATTATTGGATATTTCGAAAGCAACACCCGAGAAGGCACTTACCAAGCCATGCCCTAATGTAGAACCCCCCCCTCTTAAGGCTTGAGGGAGGGGGTTTATCAATCACAGGTCTACCTCAGCTCACAAACAACTCGGCTGGATTCTGCATTGCCTGACCCGGGGTCATTTCATTTTGGTGGAGAAGTGGCGCAACTAACGTGTAACCTCTGCGCGCAAGCAAATGACAAGGTCATGACTTACTTCGACCATGGCCCTGGGCATGGTCCATGTCTTCAACATTTGCCCATGTAAAGAGCTCAATTGGTCTGCAGATCCTGGCGCCCTGAGGAAGCATGAGGACAAGACTCGACCAGGTCCACTTGCATGGCCACGGCCGCCATTGTGCAGGTCAGGCCTCTTTAGGCGACCGCGGATTTTGCACTAGCTGAGGTGTCTAAGAGTCGGCAAAGCTTCCGATTGTTCTTCTGGCTATATGCACAATACAAAGCTCTCCAAGTGCTGAGTTGCTGTACACTAGCGATGTATATATAGTGGCCATCCACAATACAAAGCGCTCG